CGCAGGTTTCCGGTCACCATTGGCCTGAACGTAATCATGGTTGTCCTCTACCGCATCTACGCGCACTGCATCTCGTCGGCTTACAGAGCCAACTTCTGTTGGGCGTCCTAGAATGGTGTTCACGGTGCCACATCAGCAAATGTGCACGTTGCTTATTTGGGGCTTAAACACCTTAATAAGTCGATCAAGGGCATTCAGTGAATAAGTGATCGCGCTTAATTAACGAGGTACCATTTCTTATTAAGGGGCGTGCTACTTGAACCGTCTTAATCAAGCTCGACTAAGTCGTGTACTAAGCTGACATTAAGACTTGTAATCGTGGATCAAGTGGCCTTCAAGAACATCGATCTATCCATTCAAATCGTTCCATGGGACGCGAATATATTCCGGAAATGTGCCAATTTATTCTACAGTGTACAGGTCTGTCGTATGGAATTACAATACACTACTGTACTCGCTGGCGTACACGAGCTGGGCATGGGCACCATACACAAAGCCAGTTCCGCTGGCAAGTAGGTAGGTCCATGGGCAATCGCGTGGACAGTCGCGTGCGTAAGTGGGCGGCTGGCTGGCCGAACGGGTGCACGGGAGTGTGGGCGAGAGGCGGTGCATGCTAAGGGGGTTGTGGGCGAGAGTGAGTGCAAGTATGCGGACAGGAAAACGGACGAATGGGCGGGCAGAAAAGCGGGCAGGCTAGTAAGAGGGCGATGATGCGAGCATGAGGGAGAGCGGGCGAGAAGGCGATGGCAGCGGGCCATTGAGTGCGTGGGCGAACGAGCAGGCAGGCGAGCGAGCTAAGCCAACGAGAAAGCAAGGGTGAGTTGCCGCGCGGGCCCGGAGGGGTTGTCGTCGGGATTCGGGATCATCGTGAGCGTGTCGCTGGGCGGGAACGTCGCCGGCGCGCCCCCGGAGCGGGGAGCGCGGGGAAGGGTACGGCAGGCAGCTAGGGCGTCGGCGGCGGATAAGGGTAGTTGGGGTTCATAGGCGTAGCCACTCACCGGAGGCTGCAGCTCGGCGGGGATTGAGTACTGCGGCGCTCGGTCGGAGGAGGGTGCGGGCGGGAGTGCGGAGACGGGGCCTGGCCAGCCGACGGGCTGCTCGTATTGCGCGGCCTGCGGGTATTGCACGGACGGGTATGCTTGGGGTTGCGGGTATTGATGCAGCTGTTGCTGGTAGTGCTGCAGGTCGGGCGGGTATTCGTAGTCCGTGGACGTCGAGGGCCCGGGCTGTGGCTCGTGTTTGATCGCTTGGACGGGCGCTGGCGGAGGCGGCGGGAGCGCGCTTGTGGACGCCTGTGACTGGGAGCTGGTCGAGGGCTGGGGTATTTGCGAGCGCGAGGGGAAGGGCGCGTACTGCCGTTTCGTGCTGCTGGTCGTCCGCGAGGATTCGCCCTTCTTGCCGGCCTTGCTCGTCCGCGCAATCCTGAACATACCCTCCGGGACGACGAGGTCGCGCAGTTCTTCAATGTCGTCGATCATTTTCAGTTGGCCTTCCGTTAATTTTGTGAAGTACGCGTCTGGGCAAACGTGGGTTCGCTGGGGAAGACGTCTGATGAGCACACGACACACTGAGATGCCACTTCTTTGGATCGGGCGATAAAGCAAGGAGGGCGAGGGCGGGTGGAGGGCAAGCGAGCGAGTGAGCTAGCAAATGAGCGAAGGTGGGCAGACAAGAGTAGGCGGGCGAGTGCGAGCTAGTGAGAGAGCAGCTGACGAGAAGGCGAGGGCAGAGAGCTGTCGAGAAGGCGAGGGCGGCGAGCTAGTGAGAAGGCGAGCGCGCGTATAGGCAAGAATGGGCAGATGGATGAACAAGAGGGCGAACAAGAGGGCGAACGGGCAGGCAAGCACAGGGCCCAGGCTCCTCCGAGTCAGGCGTTGTGCGTGCGCGCAGTATCATCTCTGCTAGTGCTCGGTGTTCTCTAGCGACAAGCTCGGCAGGACACTTGAAGGACCATACTCACCTTCGTAAGCCGTGCAATGACTCGAGGCTGCGGCGCCGCTGCGCGCCATGCCGCTCCGTATCGGACGTGGGATGCATATGCCATGCACCAGAACGTTGGACGTTGCATTAATTGGACTTGCGCGTTGGACGGTCAAACGTTGGGTGGGTTGCAGGACGTTGAACGCTTGAGCATCGCGGGCGACGTGTCATGTCGGAGTCTGATTGGATTTCCGTTTAGGGCAGGCAGCTGTAGCACTTCCCGAAACGACTGTGCGCCATCTGTCCGTGTCATCCTGGTTCCTTCCGTCACTCAGTCTCATTCACGAAGTGTTCCGTAACATGATCACGAGGGTTACTCCCTCCGTCTCAGACTCTCGAGCTTCCTAGTGGCCGTCTCGCTGCAACTTCTCACTTCTCGCGGCTCTGGCGACCCTCAACTTGGCCGCGCTAACTGGGACTCACCAAGCAACAGGGCTGACTAGAGCACAACACGAGCAGTATGTGGGGATGCGAGGAAAAAAATAGAAGATAAATGATAATGAAGGGTACAGCGAGCACGAAGGCTCGAGATATCAGGTACGTCCTTAACTGACATCTTGTTGTCTCTGCTTCCAGACCCGAGACTGCAGTACCCGAGCTGCCAGCGACGTAATGAATGAGAAGAACGCCATGCACGCTGCTGGCAGTGATCTTGGGACATCCGTTCCGCGGCTAAGACGATGCGTGCTGTGATTCAGACGTGTAGCTGCACGTCCGGCGTTCATCTACGGCCACTTGTGACTCAGCGTATCCGCTGCGTCGATTTCTTGGTGCACATGTTACTGATGAGTACGCCAATGGGTGCTCTTATGAGTGTACCCGGCGTGTCTAACATCCCCACAACTTGCGAATGATGAGACCACGGTGCGGCTTACGGGCACAAGGCAGCACAGCGAGCATCACGCTCGTGCGCTCTTCGGGCAATTATGCCAGGGCATCGCGCCTAGGTCGCGGCCCATCTTATGTGCCTACGACTGCTACCCTGCGCGATAACACGCACGGAGCGCACCATGAATTCAATCAGATCAGTACTTGTTCGCCTGCTTGCTGTTTGCCTACACACTCACCCACCCACCCGCTTGCTCATTCGCGCACGATCGCCCGTGTACTTGCCCACACATTCACGAATCGCACGCTCGGCGGCTCGCCCATCAACTCGCTCAGCCTCGGGTGAAGATTACAACACTCGATACTGGAACAGATGCACGTATGATCTCAAGGTGGGCTTTTCGTGTTATAGGACGAGCGGCAATGATAGCATATTAGCAGTAGAGAGTCGTCGGATGTAATGTACCTTGCTCGAGGACTCAGGAATCTACATACAATTTGCAGGGATTGCATTCGCCAGAAAGTACTTACATGCTTGATTGTACAATGTTCCTTACTCGCGCTTAGTATCTGCTTGATTCTATCGTTGCTATTTGGCGTTCATTCGATCAAGTACATAAGGAGGGTAAGTGATTGTTAAGCAAGAATCTAAGGCGTGAAAGCTCGTAAGGTCCGTCAAGACGGCTTAAGTAGTATGCAGTTTTGCTGATGCAGAGCATGCATCATCTCGCTCCACAGGAAGTGTCCATCGTGGACTGCAGCCAGTCCGAGATGCACGTTTTGACTTCAGGTGCTACCTCCGCTCCTGCACTGGCAGAGGCATGCAAACACTCTCAAGATATACGCCTCATCCGCGTTCTGCGGATGCCCGGGCTCCGTGACAATCTCCTTGAGTTCATGGACGTAGGTGTGCATCACAATGCCAGGGAGATGTGGTCTGCCGTCGCTGAAACCCCTTGGGGCAGTTTGGATACCATTTGCCAAGGAACATGAAAGCGTGAACCCACGGCGGTGGCGTCCCGTTGGGTCGACGCGGCGGACTCGCTCTCACAGGTCTCACCGGCAGACCTAGATGGATCTTGCGCCGCCTATATTGGGGCGAATTTCTACTAGACATTCGAGGCTACTGCAGCTTCGTAGTGTGTGGCGTTCATGGTTTGTTGGTTGAGAGAGTATGGAGATCTAGTAGTTTTTGATCTACCATCCTGTGATTTGAACGGACGAACGTTCAAGTAACTCCCATATCAGATGGCCCTGTTAGACCATCCTCCGAAGCATTGAAGGTACCTCCATTGTTAGCTCAACTTTTACTCTAGTAGCTAGGTCATTAGGCGTGGACATGCACCAGTGAGCCCCGCCGAAGCCTGTCGCCAATCGTGAGCTGAGCAGCAGCACTGGCATGGGCAGCCTGCACTCCGACAGCTGCAGTGCCTCAGAACAGTGCTCCAACCGCGCTCTTCTCCTTATAAGTATAGCTTACCAGTAACCGCACGCACCCATAGGATATGTTGGACGCAGGCAGTACATTCATTAATGCAGATTGACCGTACATGCAAAGCATTGTATGGAACCCAGTGTACAACCTGACGCAAATCCCGACCGCAGGTAGCACTCGTAGTAATGCGACAGGACTACAATTACAGAGATCGAGACAACCCACTCGTGTCAATTCCTGTTGCTGGATGACGCGCTACATCACCCCGCTCCTGTTCGACATAGGAAACCCGCTTCCTTGTCCGATAGCATCTGTAGCCGTAAGCTAGGCGCATAGAGCACTGTGATCTCAGCTTAGCACCCGCTCGGCGCCCCTGGCGGTCTTTGTCTGCAGAGGAGGTCAGCAACGGCGATAGGTGGACGAAATGAAGTATGCTCACAATCTTCCACCTCTTTGAACTTGATGCCAGCGGGTATATATTTGCAGTCTCGCCTGAATGGCGCAACATCGCGTCGCTGCGAGAGATCTTGTTGTGGCAGTAAGGGCAAGAACTTTCAGCACTGCGCAGATGGCGGGTGGCGACATGCTTGTACAAACCGTCCCGCGCAAGTGTTTGGGCGCATGGTTTCCCTTCTTCGTACCAAGGACAGTCCACTACCTCCTTGCCTTCGTAGGTGTAGTACTCCAACTCGTGTTTGTGGAACAGGAGGAAATGTTCCTTCACGCCGCGAGTGCTGCAATCATGTAGAGGTTTCCACATTTCTCCCCAAAATGACACGTTCCTCGAGAAGGTTTTGGCCGGACACCTCCCACAGAAGAGATAGGCAGCGAACGCGTGGCGTTAAACAGTGGATTTGCGCTTGCCGACTCGATTACGACGGGGGAAGAAGGCGCACCAACGTGTGGCAATGGCCTGCGGGACCGACGTGAACATCGAGACGGCGATAGTCCAAGACTAAGACGCACCGGTCCCCGTAGCTGGATGAGCAGTTCGCCTGCTCCAAGCTAGCACCGCCGACCCTATCTTGCGCGATCAAAGCCGGATCAATACTAGAGGAAGTCAGTAGCCGACATATATAGCAGTATCAAGTTACACACCATCCCACATGACTGTCGACTTGCTGACCTACGTCTTGCTGGTCCGCGACGCTAGACATCATCGCCGGACTAGCTGCTGCTGACAGTGCGACCGGGTTCAAATCAGCTGCTGCCGCGCACCATTCCTCGTAATTCATCTGAGGAGAGGTCGCAGGGACCACCGGGTAGTAGTATGGAGGAGCGAGCTCATGCGCATTATCCGTATGCGTGACCCAGACGGAACCAGTGGCGCTGCGAACAGGCGTGACTATGCGACGCAGCCTAGTAGACATGATCAGTTGCATATCCTTAAGTATTGTATAGACGAATTTACTGCGTTGGCATCGTACTTTGCCGAATTGGATGAGTTGAAGAGTTCGAGAAGGCATAGTCTCTGAAATAGGATATCTTAGGACAAAGTGATGCTATTGGTTAACGGACTCACAATCCTCCCTCGCCTGTTCCAGCACTGGATGTATCCTGCAACTGATTACGGTTAGGTGTCATTGAGCTCGCGACGGTGTCAGCCGGAGCCTGATTCGACGAAGGAATGTCGAGACGTAGACTGAGAAATCACTTCAGCAAGACTGCTATCACAGACAATGTCGATGAAAACATACCCGCCACCCGACATGTCGTCCTTCCTGTGCCCAACATTTTTTTCAACAGCGATCCGCTCGGATGAGGAAGACATTAAAGTGCGCGATGGGTCCATCGGGTTGTTGTAACAGCTCGCACATTGAAATGGGTCGCCAGCCGTCTTGCCACAGTAATAGCATACCATCGTGGAGGTACGATCGGTAACCTGGAACTACTCCATTGATGCTTTATACATGCAGTTGAGGAAGATCCGCCATCCACCAGGCCATCATCCACCAGGTCAGGAAATGGTCAAGTTGCGAGGGTGAACGGGCTGGAGAAACGGATGGAAATATGGTGGCTCGCTGTCCACCATGTCTAGCGATGGAAATGAGCGTTAATAAGGAATTGATGTGGAATGGGATGCAATCTCCCACCACAGCCCACCATCCGTATGCATGACAAGGGTTCACATAACCTGCGTCGTGGATAGTTCGCAGGTGAATCGTCAGACCTGTTAACACCAGCCATCAAGGGGTGTATGGAAAACCACCGGTGAATTGAAGTTGTGACTGAGTATGATACACACCAAGAGAGCCGAACGTACACACCGTGCTAGTGAAACACCTTTTCCGGGACTTGGTGGTCGGTGTGCAGGGCTACGGCGTACACCGTCGTCGAGGGTCTCGATCGTGCCGCGTGGATCATAGTGGGTGGAAAGACCCGCGCTTGGGGAGGAGGGAGCGGCAGATACCTGCGGAAAGGACATGGGGGGTTGAACGTTAACGGACGGACGTGAACTTAAGAGCAAGACGAGTAAATTTGCAAATCCACTGATAAGCCCAGTACTTGACACCGCCGCGTACTTGCATACTAGGTGGAGCGCTTGCTGGTCTGTGCATCTGCTAGTCGCCACGCCGCGGACGGCGCACGATTGTGTACCGTACCAACTTCTCGTTCGCTGTCGCTCTGTAGGACTCGGCCAACAACAACAACAGCAATAGTATGCCAGGCGCTCTGACCTGCATCGCCAATCTGCAGAAATGATCGAGACCACAGCTGGAAATCACCACACCAAGCTCAGACGCTGTGTCACGGGTCGATGAGAGTCACAACGTCGGGATGGAAAGCCAATCTAGGTGCTGTATAACGGTACACGTACCTCCGACTGCTCACGTGTACAACTCTGCGTCTGATAGTGGAACTCATTGTAAGTGGCCCATTCCCTGACGCCGACGCTGTGGTAATGCTCACCGGTGAGGCTCGGAAGCAAGTCTTTGCCCTGACGATGGAAAGCCGCTGTTAGACCGGCTTCTGCCGCTCAACGGTCCTACAGAAATTATAAATAGGGGGACATTTCCTGGGACTGTTGGTCGACCACCGCTGCTGCATCCGCAGACATCCCGTACCTGACAGGTCTGCCCCTCCTGTTCAGACTGACCTTCCACGGCATTGACTGCTCAGGACATCTCGCTGAGCCAAGACATCACAATCGTATGTCGTTCAACAGAGCGGAGGAAGAGTTGGACAACGGTAGTCTGCAATGAACCCCAGTGGCGACTCTGGTGAGTCACGGTCGAGTGCTCCGGTCCGGACTCGATCCAAGCTTGCCTCTTGCGATGGCGAGATGAGGATCGAGTGTCCCGCTCCTTCGTACTCATGACCACGTTGCTAGCTCTAATGCAAGGAAGGCGCTCGACCGCAGCACTTCCGTCTCTATGAAGTTAACGCGAGACCCCGAGTCAGTGAACAGCACTCTTGAGCTTAAATGTTCCACGGTGCGCAGATATCTCTTACCAGTGAGTGCATAGCATTGTCTCCGTTGTCCGTCCCGTAGTCATGAAGTTGCCGTATCAGACCGAGCACGACCATCAGCAGATTCTCGAGGAGCCGATGATGTAGTCGGTCAGTCCGGGTGGCAGGTCGCGGTCTGTCGCGGTGCAGTCACGGTGATGCACGTCAGCGAGGCATTAATACGCTTGCGGGTTTGCCAGCAGTGATCAGACGAATCATATTGATTCTGTAAATTCGCCCTAGCATTGATGTGATGATGCGTCCCGAGCCCAGTGAGGTAAGGAGGGACGCCGGCCGCCTGAGCCTCGACTGAAAGTTCGCATGATCGACGTCGACGACTTGGGATGTTCGAGCGCCTATAGGTGCCACGCCCCGCTAAGCCCCGCTCCACTCAATTCCGACTGTCCTTACATAGTCTACTTATCAACAACAGATTCAAGTTTGACCAAAAGTTGGTGTCTGCTACTCAAGGTAAACTGATGGCACGATCCTCCTTATACTTCAGTCGCTGATTACAGTTCTGTAGATGACGTAACGTGCTAGGTCTAGAGCCGTTAACTGAGGAGACTGACCGACAACTAGAACATGTACGCCGAAACTTTGAACCTGTGTTATCGCGAGGCTAACATCTTAACATGTAGTTACCAATGTCGAACGATCACTGCCTAACAAATGACTTCCCACTATGAATAACTCAATATGAGCTGAAGATCTGGGGAGTCCGAGTCATTCTTCGAGCTTCAAGCTTCGGACTTCAACTTGAAGTCCTGTAAGTTTCCAGTGAGCTGTACTCGCAATCTGGCTCATTCCCGACTCCCAGGGTTGTCGTACGACTCGTATGTGTTCGTCAGGGACGATGAGGTGGCAGTACTGCTGTTCTTGCATAAACACGCACAGGGCCGAGATTTCAACATTTAACAGTGGTTCAATTGACGATTTTGAAGGCATAGGTGTACATAAACCGATCGCAAACATCAATGACCAGAAGGTATGCTGCAACAAATAACTGATATCGCTGAAGAAAGACATACGGAGAGCGGAAATAGAGCGGGGGTTATGTGTCGTCGATATGTATGGCAAGTCGTCGTACTGGTGCATCTCGTCTTGCGACGTGTCGTGAAGCAGGACATCGAAGAATGTGTGGGCGGCCAAGATCCGCAGGCCCACAGCTGAGGAGTGAGGAAGCAGATGGGGGAACGAACTCGTCGCGACCGTGACGCCAAGGTGCGCTGCCTTCTACGAGAACTCTTCCGTGTCCCTCGAATCAGTACTCACATCGTCGTCTTGATGCGTTCAGCAATCGGCCCCAGAATCCTTGTATGCACTGCGAGGGAGATCCGCCCTGTGGTATTCCAACAGATGTCGTTTGAGGCCTCGAGCGACCCATCGGTGATTGGTACGCCGCAGGGAGTCCCAAAACCGCACGCCTGGCTTATGTGCCGTTCTGCCGTACATTCTGTGCCGTGGAAGTCGGCGCACTCCCTGCCGTCGAACATCTCTGCCGCTGAATCGCCGTCAATGTCCCTGTTGTTCGATCTGTGAGCGTCATGGCCGATTTGAGAGCTATGATACTTACGACATATTGTCCCAAGGATAGTGTTCGGATCCATCGAGCATGGCGGTATCCGACGGCCTATCAGACCTGGTCAATCAGGGACAGGCAGGTCCGCTATGTAGTGGAGACATACCCCTCTGCGACGCCGTGGTGAGAATAGAATTCGGTTCCTGGTGGCGGGCGGTCCAAGACGATACACCTAGCATGGTAAGTTTGCGTTGAATCGGATAGTCTAATGATTGGGATCCTATATTAAGCGCAAGGTCGGAATTGACGTGGACAAGCGACGATACCTATTGTGAAGGAAATGATGGAAGATTCGGCGACGAGGCCTGCGGCTGCGGTGATTGCTGCTGATTCCATAGACTCGGGATCAGACCCCTCGCCGTATGTGAGCTCGCGATTTTGCGGTCTGCGAAGACATGAACATGCGGCCAGCATGTAGTACTGTCTGCTTACCGAGACTGCTCCGTGTCAAACGTTATTTGAACTCGGACGAGCATGCCGTTTATTGACACGCATGGCATGTCTTGCCAGTTGTGCTCCGCTGTTGCCGAAGGCATGTCTGGTGGAATCGACGGCCCAACCGGGAGGAAGTGGTGACGGGTAACTGGGGACTCGGTCTTGGTGCGTTCTCACTTTATGTACCCTTCTTCAACATGCCACAGACATTCTTCCGTCGCTACAGCACAGCCATCATGGGACGACTGGCTCAAGTTCCATTTCGTTGCAACGATGCGCCATTTCCCTTGACGGTCCACATTGTGGAGAACAGAACGAGGGTGCTTCCAAAACCACACAAGCACGTAGGCAGACGGTCCGTAATGCGTCCACCTTGTGGAACAATGGAGCGGACCTGAGGAACTTGAAGTGAATGGACCGTCCACATCTTGGTCCACATCGTGGAATCGATCAGCTGAGCGTATGCACCGGACCCACGGATGGATTTGTTATGGATGCGAAGATGTCACCTTCGGTCCACATAGTGGACATTTACACAGGAACTCTGATAAGCACTGCAGCCTCCGTCGCTGCGGTGGCGGACGGAGGACTTATTGTAGTACCTAGTACTGATTTGCAGTGTCGCCCAACCACGATAGTCACATGCACAGCCTTGCGGCAATCTGCTGCGTCACGGTATTGTGGGCATTGGGCAACACTAGCTAGCGCTATGATTGGGGTCCTATCGTTCGTTCCTGCATATTGCCTTTAGCATCGATGATACTAAGTCCGCCGAGCGCCATGAGCGTCCGAGTCTCAGCCTCTTGCGAGTAGCCTATATACTCCATTGAGATACCGTAGTGATTTATCCAATGTGAACTGATCATGTGTTGACCCATAATTGACATCTTTCCGAGTGCATTACGTGCCTCTTCGGGGATCGGACGACACGGTGTAACATCATGAAACTTACAGCGGCGGCCTACACACGAAGACATGCCAGGAACAACGCAACTTTGGCGATGAGCTTCGCTTGCCACAGTCGGTAGTTCGACCGTCATGCTATTTATGTCTGTCACTTCGGCCTATGCTAGCGTCACAACCAAGGAACGAGATTGGAGCAGAGATATATGGTAGAAAGCGAAACAGCATATACATCAATTCATAGCAACCGGGAAGAGCGCTTCATCTTCCCACATACAAAGCATAAACACAACGGGATAGAAACAAAGCACGACCTATTCTAACTTACAACGCCGATCGTAACAATATACCTGCCGTCTGACGTAGGGAGACGTCGCAGAGGATAGTATGGACGGCACCCTACACCTAAGTAACCTGAAACATTGTGTTGTAAGTCTCGACGGCGCTGAATATCACGGACAGCTGATAACGTACCGTGCTTCCATCGCCCGATGCTTCGGCTTCCTCAAATCGCAGACACTTCCGCATGTGGCGTGTGAGTGCGTCAGACCGCGAAAGTTGGCGGCCACATCGAGAGCACTTGCAAGCCATGTCTTTCAGATGCACTTGTTTGAGATGCTTCAGGAGGGACCCGAAGCTCTTAAGCACTGTGCGGCAACGTGGGCTCGTGGGAGAGAACCGCCATTGACAGATCGAGACCTCGATGTTGCTGTGGAGCTCGCGGTAGTGCCGCTTGAAGTCCTCAACGGGGACATTGCATGCCGCGTCGAAAGGACAGACATGACCTGTACTCCTTGGCGACACGATGACTCCAGCGTTGTCATGCGCATCCGTCGTTTCCGTCGCCGTCAACGCCAACTGCTCTGACCTTCGAAGCAATTCATCCCGAACAAGATCGCGTTCCTCCCTATAAATTCAATGCTCAGTGCAAACAACACAAATGTTTTCCCAACATCACATACTCAAGCTCCCGTTGCCGCCTTGTGAGGCTAGACGTGGATTCCCGCCGCAGCTCATAGGGTGCCCACCGTCGCGTTCGAGCCGTGTGCTGCGACGGCCTTGGGTGCGCGTTAGTAGATCTAAGGAGTACAACATAGTCAGCCCCTTTCATTTCCGTGAGTCTCGGCATGTGTGCGAGACACTTACCTGGTATTATTAACCATAAAGAAATCCCCACGTTCGTGCTGCTGCTTCCTGAAGCTCCGCCGGATGGAGAAGCGTTGCCCCAGCGGGCCAGACTTCGATACGCCGGTGAGATAAGTCTTCAGATGATGTCTCGCAGAACTTACGGAGTAGGTCGAGGGATCAGTGGACCTGCCATCGTGTCTTGTCCCGCTTGGTGTGTTCCGTCGGCCATAGCAACCGCGACCTCATTCGCGGGAACCAGTGCCTCTCTGTCATTCAGTCAGCTCGATAGCGCTTGCTCATCGTCAATGACATACGTACTGTAGAGTGCCCGCCGTAGTCAGATCATGCGGGAGATCCTGTGAGACTCCTCCTTGATCGTAATCTAGGCGCATATTGAATGCCGATCCATCATACATCACTGGACTCTCGAGACTGCGATTACGTCAAGCAAGCGCAACGAGTGCAAAGAACGTTCGGTAACGTACAATCCTGGCGAATAGTACGCCGAGTTTCCCCATGGCATCTCCGTGACGATGTCTTGACCGAAGTTGTTGTTGAGACCAATTTCGAATCCACCGTCCAGCTGATCGGCGGCAGCTCCACTAGATGTCGCAGCCAGACGAGTGATCAAGGCAAGTCCACAGCGGCTTAAGAGTGCAGAGCCTACCTGACAGCAGATGGCTCTGCGACACCCGCGTCGAGATCTTCGGTGTCCTGTATGTTTGATTGGAGTTGCGCAGTCCATTCACCCGCAGGTGGGTCCCAGCCGAACATCTCTGGCAATGCAGCCAGGGGGCGCTGCATGCTGAGTCGATACCCTATTGGTGCTGGGATGCCAGGAGGGAGTTACATGAAGTTCAAGAAATCACGTAAGAGAGGCTTTTATACCCAAGGATCAAACCCAAGGATACCACATTATGGACATATCCCACAGTGGACCGCCTCCCATATATCCAGGACGCCCCCAGATACGCCCCAGACAGATATGGGACTTACCAAAACATATCTGGCCGAGCGGCCTGCCAATCGGGCGTTCGCGCCGAAGAGCCAGCAAATGACAACATGACATACAGCACCGAGGATATCCCTTACTCAGTTAATTAACTCAAGTATCGTTCAAAAGACGCGGTTTGCGGACTGCGTCTGCAAAGACATGGATGAGGTTAACATCGAATGCGCCGCAGAGAATGAGGGTTCAAACGTGCACCTTGTGCTTCAAAGATCTTCCTGGGACATGGAAAGCCATGGCGGTACGAACTAGAGCGGCGAAGGTGTACACATTGTGGACGATCCATTCTAGAAGACCGCTCGGTGGTCAGGCGACTCTTATGACCTGATGTTCTGCGAGATCATTCGGTCAACCAATTGTGTATAGCGCAAGTGAATATCAAATCACCTGAAGAGGAACGAAGCGTGCAGACTTGTCATGGCGGGGTTAGTGCTTTCAGGTCCCAGCTATCGACGCAACTTACAGACAGAAATGCGCTATACCGGCGTAACATTGTAAGTCAAGTCATGGAAGTTTGAACTTCACTGAAGACTCATGAGGGTTGTTTACATCCTTGAAATCGTCACAATCCTGCCACAATCAACTGGTTGAGTATAAATTGTGAATTGTGCCAGGTTGCCTCCGTCGGCCGTCGGTATAAGAGGGTGGACAAGCATTTACGCACCGAGATAACAGGGGCTCACGCCAACCATTGGACGACACCCGACGTGTTATAGCTTCTTACATACGACGTATCAACCCGTCGAGGGTGTTATGATTGGTACCTATCTCCCAATGAGTGGGCCTTCCTTGTGCGATGGCTGAGGATGGCCACAGCCACTCCTCCACCCGCCCTAGTGCATATTGCGTAAACTCCGATGCCTATATAGTGCGAGAATTACCTTCTACAGCATCGCATCCCGCCTCTACTTGTTAAGTATGGTCCTCGCAATGGACTCCCGTGGCCAGCAAGAACATCGCAGTGGCTGTTCAAAGCGAAAGCGGCGGCGCACTGCTTTGCTGGCTTGAAATCGGATCTCTCACGCTCCAGGCCACACACGCTGCAGAGCGCTTGGTACAGACGTCTAGGCTCCTCCTGTGCCGTAAGTACGCGATGGTCTGTGCGGTCCATCGTTTCGAATCGCTTTGACCACATATTCATTCCTGTTCCACGGATAGTTAGGGCCTGCCAGTGGCTCCTCTCGGTCGGGCCGGAGATAAATGACCTATGATGCCTGAACAAGAGGGCAGTACCAGGCCGTGACGTGGCCGCGATGTCTCCGACACGCCACTTACTCGGACGGTACGAGACACAAGTACTTACTGCGAGCAACAATCTACTGACCGTGAGTGCAGTGCATCTATAGGAACGACTTGTCGCACGGCCTGAGAACCTTGCTTATGTGTGCTCAGAGTTACTCAAATCCCCGTCCTCTGTGGTCTGGTGAACCGTACAGTCACCATGCCTCATTGTGCCGTCGATGGCGACAGTACACTCTTGTACTACGAGGACAGCGGCGTACCCAGTGGATCCACGGATTATGTTACCGTATTTCTCGTCCACGGCACGATGTTCTCAAGCGGTATGTCACAGTACTGTCAACGCACTACGCAAGTGATCATAGTTCACTGACGGATTGAGTTCTTCCAGCCATATTTCGACCAATGATGCCCTATGCCGCGCATCACAATCTTCGACTCGTGCTCATCAATTGCAGGGACTACCCAGGTTCAACGCTGTACTCGGAGAGCGAGCTTGGGTCACTATCGTCCACTGATCCCGCGATACAGTCATCAGCACTTCAAGCCCGCGGACTCGAATTCGCGGAGTTCATTCGACGGTTCATCGAGACGCAGCGCATCCCGCCGATCATTGCATCACGCAGCGGCGGCGGCGGCGGCCGGCGCAGTGGGGGATTTACATTGCTAGGATGGTCGTCGGGCAACTGCCAAACCATCCCGCTCCTATCGTATGCGGATCTGGTACCGGAGGCCACGAGGAAGCTGTTGGATGCGTATTTTCGATCGTTCGTCATGTATGGTATGTGACAGTCTCCGCATCTAACCCGTCTGTGGCTTAGCGCGTCTCGCAGACATATCGTTGCCAGCCACCGGCGAGGCCCCTGTACCGGGCGTGTGGGTACCTTTCCGCGACGACACGCTCAGTCCGGCGGAGAAGTTCAGCCAGTTTTCCGAGTGGGTGTCCTACTATTTCACACCCACTGGTTTCGACGCTTCTCAGGATATCGACTCTCCCGGTATAAAGGAGGCGCTGGGTGCGCGCATCGCCTTACACACAGACAAGAAATTGCGTAGCTCGCAGAGGACGCCGACTGTCCACCGGATAGGTCCTGAGAAGATCCGCGAAGTATGCCACGTTGAGGTCATGGCGCGAAGCCAGAAGTACTACCAGGTCATAGACCCGGCCGTGTACCGAGAGATTGTCCGCCGTGCGATCCTCCAGGGCAGTGCAGACGGAGGAATGATCTGGCCGAACCTCAAAGTGGCCCTCGTATGGTGCGACATGACGAATAGCGACGTCGTCAGTGCGGCCATGAAGCTGAAGGCGCTCGTGAGGCAGAGCAGAGCGAAGGGCGAGGGCCGTGATGTAGCGTTCCACAAACTGGAAAGGGCCAACCACTTCGTGGGTGCATTTTGCATATGGACGGACTTCGCAGATACTGACAACGCTCTAGGCGCATTGGGACGAGCCCGAGAGGTTCACCTCGCTCCTTGCAGAGGTCATCTGACAGGCGACAAGGCAACGGGCGTTCTCCTATCGTATCGTTCGTTCCTGTCTGCGTTCCTATGAGACCACACAATGATATGACAGCTTTCGCACTGCACAGCTGCTCCTGATAGGATCATAGCTCTCTGCGAGCTCGTTAACTCGTCAACTGTACCACACATGACCGAGTCGTTGCGCCATGCGCTCGGGTCTAGAGTTTCACGAGAGCAGTCCACTGGCATTCCGCGATGAACATTCGCAGCTTATCTAGTGGGAGACTATCAGGGACGGTACATCCTCAGGGTACCATGGAACGTCGTCCAACGAGTAGCCACACACTATCTGCGGGGAATCCGACGCGAGGACCGGCCGCCAAGCGTGAACGTTGCGGCCCCCTTTCTCGGCGTTCTCATTGTACGCATGTGTCCAGGGAGGTCCAGAGTCGCTGAGATACACAATCTCGAGGGCATTCAGCGTAGGCGGTGGTTCTACAGTATCAAGTGACCGCCTCTAGCGTAGGTTGTATGAAGAAAACGTGCCCGAGATGTTTCATCGTTGATCATATGCCTCACTTGAAGCTCGAGGTGCATGTTGATCCACGATTGGCGCATGGTCATCGGGGAAACCTAGACAAGGTATTGGTTGGCGAACTGGATGGATCATCGGATGAACCAATGCACTAGCAGATCAATGATGTCACTGCGTTATTACCGTTCGGGTCCAAGCTCAACACACGGACCCACATCAATCCAGAAAGTACAGGTCATCAAGCAGCCTGCGCCGCCAGCTTCGCAGCTTCCGCTCCTGCCTTTCTCCCAAACACCGCCCCGGCCGTCAACCCACTCCCGCCTGGATAGTTGCCATAGAAGAGCCCGCCGACGACCTCACCAGTGGCGAAGAGGCCGCGAATGTTCTCCCCCTTCTCGTTCAAGACGTTTGCTGTATTAGGGTTGATCGCAAGGCCGCCGAAGGTGAACGTGATCCCGCATGCAACCTTCACGGCAAGGAACGGCGGCTTCTCGAGGGGTAGAGCCCAGTTCGACTTCGGCGGGTCGACGCTGAGCTGTGGCTGGGAGGAAACTGTCGACAGCCCGTCCTTGACGGCGGGATCCCATGTTCTGGACGGGTTCTCGGTTTTGGATGCACGGACCGCTGCATTGTAGGCTTCGATGGTGTGCACGAACGCTGCCTTGTCCTCCAGACCCTTCTGCGAGAGTGCATCTGCGAGCTCTTCAACGCTCTGCGCCCAGACCTTCTCGACCACGCCATCGTCGTACTCCTCCTTCCGCAACCATTCCACCACCTCGCTGTCCCACACCTGGAACGCGCATCCGCCCGGTTGGTGCAAGATCGCACGCCCGAACTTCGCGTACGTGTAGTTCCGGAAGTCCTCGCCCTCATCGACGAAGCGCTGCCCGCGGGCGTTGACCATGATGCCGAGCGGGTAGCCGGACTTGGTGAACTGGTTGCTGAGCACGCGGTCGCCGCAGTCGGAAGGTGCGTTTGCGTCCCAGCACGTAGAGTGGCAGCCGGTGGCGGAGAAATCCCCGATGAGCGAGGCGTTCAAAGGCCGCGTAGAGTGAAGCCGTCGCCGGTGTTGTAGGGCGTTCCTCGGACTGCAGGGCGCCGGCGTGAGTAGCATGTTCGATAGTGTAGGTGTATGTGGTGAGGCACCTTTGCTTGGGTCCAGTTTGGACTCATGTACTTCCGCGAAGGTCGGCACTTGATTCGAACCCGCCACAAGCAAGAACCACAGAGGGTGAGTTGAGGATGGCTCTCTGCCCACCACGTTCAACCACCAGCCCTGCAATAATCCCTTCGTCTGTGACGAGTTCGACGGCAGGTGTATCAAACCACGTCTCGACGCCGGCCTCCTCCAGCGCGCGTCTGTGAGCCGCTATCAGACCTTTACCTCCGTCCGCGACGCTGGTGCCATACCGCCCCAGAACTTCTGTCGGCCGTTGACAAGGTATGCCTGACGATTGAAGGAGGGGTGAATGGGACGCCGACCTTCTCCGCCAACCATCCCACCGCATCCCGGGACCCATCTACGACGGCCTTTACCATCGCAGGATCGCTCCTCCCATCCGAGAGGCGCATGAGGTCGTCCGTGAACTGTTGAGGAGTGTACGGATCCATGTCGATCGTCGCTGCGGTCTCCGGGGCGACGTTGGTAACGATGGGCAAGAGGTCTTGCAGGCCGCCGTGAACGGTACGATGGGCACCTGCAGTGAAGTAGCCATTACCACCCACCCATTCAGCGGGACCCTTCTCGACGACGAGGACGCGTCTGCTGCCAGCTTCGATAGCGGAGAGAGCGGCGCTACTGGCAGCGTGTCCGGAGCCCACTACGATGCAATCAAAAGTGTTCGGCGACATGTTACTGAGGCGACCGGGCTAGATACGGATGGTTTCCAATGCACAGGCCATAGGCAAAGTAGTCAAGGCAAGACCAGAGTTAGGATAGCTTGACTGGCCGCCGTCGGCCTGCTGGTGGTCATGCGGACTCGACAGACATTGCCTCGAGCGTGACTCGGGCTGATTACAGTTCTTGTTATCAGCGAGTTCGGATGTGATGGTTGACCGTAAATCTGGTTGCGCATGGCAATAAGCTCCAGATCGCCAT